AGAATCGTGTAAAAGACACTATTAAAGACAGCTTAGTGTGCAGTCGATTAATAGAAAAAAAGAGTTCATTGTCCAATTCTACTTGTTTGTATTTCTTTTAAAAGCAGGCTCTTCTCAGTATATCCAATAATTATTTTGGTCATCTCCAACCAAAGCAAACTCTCCATTAAAGTCCAGCTGTAGCACGTGAGCCCACAGAAACAGGGAGATGTTTACAACAACAAGCACAAACCACCCATAGACACATGGGCCCCTTTTTAAAGTCGGCCTTTAGCCCCCTGGATCTGCCCTATTTCTGGGCGTCAGCTGAGGGGGACACAGCTCACAGCTGCCTCAGACAGATGTGGACGGCCTGCTGCCCTTTGACCCCGTCAGCTCTGGCTATTAAAGAGGAGCACGGGTCACAACAAAAGCTGAAGGTCAAACCCAAAACAGACCAAACATCCGGCTCATGGGTAAGTTTGAGAGTGCTGATGGGTTTAACTGCTCACTATAAAAGTCTGTGTAGATAAACTGATGTCTGATAAATACTTTCTTTCCTGGTCTCCCTCGCTGTTTAAGGAAATGAGGCTTTGCAGAGCCCTCGTTGGCACAGTGCACCCTCCTGTGGTTATAAATATCTAATAGTGACAGAGTTGCTCTTTTTTGAGCTGAAGCTTTACAGAGGGGTGCAGGCCGGTTTCTATCTGTGTTTAGGTTAGTGACACCGGGAAAGGAGATGGAAAAAAAACAGAAAACCATTTTTATGTGGTTCTGAATAGATTGATCCCCGTTAAAGGACACAAATAAAGACTATTGGGCTCTATTTACCTGACCTACCTGGCTATTTGGGATGTATGGACTTCATATTGGGACTTCATGCATCAGTTAAACTATTAATAACCTTTAAATGCTTAAAGGAGGCATCTTTAATGCAAACTCTCAGCATATTTAGACTGTAAAAGTTGTTCAAAAAAAAAAAAACTTCTCATGGGACACACATTGTGCAAAGTTACAGCCTTTGGGCCTCAAAGCACAGGCTGTGCTCTGTTACTGTCAGAGGGGGTTTGAACGGGGACGGTACACTAAGACCTATCTGCTAAACTTATTTCTAATGACTCAAGTTTATTTATCCTTTTATTTACTCCTTCAGTAAATAAGCTACTGGAACCAGAAATTCTGGCTCCAGTAGCTTATGTAGAGTACAAAGGGCAGAGTTAAGGCAATATGCCATCGAAGATAAAAATTACAACAGACAACATAAAAAGAGTGTTTATGGTACAAAAGAGCACAAGAAAAGCTGCAATGTCCTGGAATATGTTTTTTTTAAGATATAAAATATCGCCACAGTACAGAGCTAAAGAAAGACTGGTACACAGTAGTTGTCCTGGATAATTGCAGATGTACTGACTTTATGAATAAGTATGAAATTACCCAGACTAATATTGCACATGAGAGACAATAGGTAATGTTTTATACCCTTGTCTCTCTTCCTAATGGTGCTGGATTAGGGACCCTGGCCGTTCCCTCTCTCTCAGTGACCCTTATCGCGTTACTCTCCGTTCTGGGAGTGCCAAACTCCGCTGGGCTGCTAGGGGTTGAAGTAAACAGAAGATAAGACTCTGACAATGGAAGCTGCCCCAGAGGCCGTGTTTGGAAAAACGCCGCCCTGCAGGGTGCCTTCTCCTCCACCCCCTCTACCTCTTTTGACCGGTGTGGGGGGGGTCTGTTTTCCTTTGCCCCACAGCTACGACATGGTGCACTATGGCCACTCCAACCAACTTAGGCAGGCCAAGGCCATGGGGGACTACCTCATCGTGGGGGTGCACACCGACGGTAAGATAGGCTAAAATCCTGCCTAAAAACACACATTTTCTCCCTGGCTAAGTGGACATCTGGCAAAAAAAATTATTTACATTTTTTCTTTTTTCCAACTTTATTTATTGAACATTTTTTTAACCAATAACATAAAGAGTACAAAGTATAAAGATGACACATTTAGTGTTGCAACTGTATGTAAACAACCCAAAACAATGCCCAGCAACCCCCACCCTCCCCTTTACAGAACACCCAAGCATTCACACACATATTCACACACGCTCACTCTTTGGGGAGAAATAAACAAAAATAAACAATACCGGTAAGTGAAAATAACAAAAT